TGTACTTATAATCAGTGCTACTTACCTAAAATTTTTTCTGCATTCTGAAAACCTGAGAGATCCAATTTTTCCCCATCGTTATTTAAAATGTCATGATTTAGTGCTATGGTCCCTAACTCTTAGGCGGGAGACCAGTATGGGTTTGTGGCTTGTTAGGAACTGGGCTGCACAGTAGGAGGTGAGCAGTGGGCAAGTCAGGGAAGCTTCATCTGAATTTATAGCCTCCTCCCATTGCTCTCATCACCGCATACGCTCTGCCTTCTGTTGGATCAGCGGCAGCATTAGATTCTCACAGGAGCTTGAACCCTATTGTAAATTGTGCATGTAGGGATCTAGGTTGCTTGTTCCTTATGAGAATAATCTAATGCCTGATGATCTGAGGTGGAGCTGAGGCGGTGATGCTAGTGCTGGGGAGTGGCTGTAAATACATATTATCATTAGTAGAGAGGTTTCACTGCACAATAGATGTAATGTGCTTGAATCATCCTGAAACCATCCCTCACCCCCCATCCAACCTCCAAGTCTGGAAAAATTGTCTTCCATGAAACTGGCCCCTGGTGCCAAAAAAGTTGGGGACTGCTGACTTGGTGTGACTAGGAATGTTATCATCCAGACTTCTGTGCTATGAAAATACTAACTGAGTTATCAAATACCTTGTTTGTTGGGTGTTGGGCACATACACATAGATCTTTGGGAGTTCAGGGTCTTGTAGGGAAATACTATACAATGTGGTTAGAATCAATCTTTTAAGGGAGAGTGGGTGATTAAAACTGCCTGACTTAAATCCCCCAAACAACATCTTAAAAATTGGCCTGGTTTGCTAGGCACATTATAGAATCAGTAGTAAAGTCAAAAGGTAGCTAGGGGCAGTTGACATAAATGCACATGGAAAAAAATGGTACCAAAGGCTCATGTGAGATAGAGAGGACATTGTGTCAGAAAAGAATGAACAGGCTCAGGCTGGCACATTATTATTACTTGTCTCGTATAATAATGCCAAAGTGTGCTTGAAATGATGCGGTATAGAATAACAATGTGCTTCTTATGCTTAGTTATCTAAGGTTAAAAGCATACCTTTTTATAGAAATGTCAAAATAACATTTGCATTTAATTCCATGGTAATATTTTGATTTGTTTAATTTTGGTAAAAGGCAATATATTCACATGGCTTAAAGATACATATGATTATGTATATACACGTTTGCATACATACAAACATATATTGAAAAGTCTTCCTTCCCATCCTCTCCCCACCTTAAAACTACTGTTCATGGGGGGGGGGGGCCTCAAGCAAAAAAAAACAAAAAAGGAAAAAACCTTTTAACCGGCCCTTTTTTAATGTGGATAGTAGCGTACTGTACTTACTGTTCCGTACTTCCTTTTTTCACTGAATATGATATTTTAGAGTCCTTTCCTTGTAAATTCACAGGGTGCCTTCTTTATCATATGTGAAATTACCATATGAACTTTTTTGTAGGGATTTTCTGTTCTGGTTTTATTTGAATTCTTTGTGTTTTTTTTTTTTTTTTCAACTAAAATATCCACGTGAAGTGAACAAATCATGCGTTCAGTTCAGTTAGATTTGACAAATGCATATGCCAGTGTATCAAGATACAGAATATTTCCATCACCCAGAAAGATCTTTCATACTCCCAGTGGTTCTTCTGGAGGCAACCACTGTTTAAAATTTTTCACTTTGAATACACTTCTAGAACTTCATATAAGTGGAATCATTCAGCATGTAGTCTTTTATGTTTAGCTTCTCTTGATCAAACGTGATTAAAACTGCCTGATATTTCCAAGATTCATCCATGAGTTAATAATTCTTTTTTTTTCAAGAATGTTCTGCTATTCACGATCTTCAGCATTTCCATATACATTTTGGATCACCTTGTCTATTGCTACAAGAATTTTTTTCCTGAAATCCTGACTGCAATAGATAAGAAACAAATAGGCCATATTACTAGGGGAAAATAAACATCTTAATATTGAGTCATCTATGAATATAGGATATCTCTTTATGTACTTAGGTTTTCAAGAATATCTTACAGCAAGATTTTTTAGTTTGAGTGAGTGGAGATCACAGTCATATTTTGATGTCCCTCCCCCCATGTTGCTCCTTCTAAATTTATAGGATGTATCCCCTTTTTTTCCAGCTCCTCTGGTAGCCCCAAATCTGTCCTCTGATTCCACAGACAAAATTAAAAACTGCAGTTTTCTGCTTGAGTTCTAGTTGCCCTGCATAGTTCTGACTTGGGTACATAGCCACAGAAGTGCAGCCTCATCCAGTGCAGTTTTCCCTGTTTTGCAGGTTGATGTCCCTTCACCTTTTATCTGTTTTTGGTCTTTCTACTGTTTTCAAATAGCTGATTAACAATATTTTTTTTCACAGTTTTATTATTGTTATCTGAAGGAAAGTTAGCCAAATTGAAGATACTCTGCCATTACTGGAAGCAGAACCTCTGTACTATTTTGTTTGTATAGTATTTTGCTAATTGCATACTGTTTTAATTATTGAGAATTTATGGTGTGTTTCAGAATCTGTCAGGGCCAGTCTTTACTCTTTTGTTAGAGTTGTCCTGGTCATACCTATTTATTTTGGCATTTTATAGTATTTGGAATAATCTCATCTGCCTGCATCTTTAAATGATTTATTTTTATTGAGATTACATCAAATATATAAATTTGGTGGAATTAATATCTTTATGATGTTATCTTCCTGTCTATGGACATACATGTTTTTTCTTTGCTTGATATACTTTTGTCTTCAGTTATGTTCAAAATGTTTCTTTGTATAGTTTTGAAGCATTTATATTTAACTAGAAGCTTTGTATGCGGCCCTCAGTATCCATGGCAAATTGGTTCTAGGATCCCCCGTAGATATCAAAATATGTGGATGCTCAAGTCTCTGATATAAAATGACATAGTATTTGCATATCTTATGCACATCCTCCTGTATACTTTAAATCATCTCTAGATTGCTCATAATACCTAAAACAATGTAAATGCTATGTAAATAGTTGTTACATACTTTTAAGTTTGTCTTTTTTTTTTTTTTATGTTGCATTGTTTTTTAGTCTTTAGGGGTTTTGTTTGTTTGATTTTAACATTTTTGATTCATGGTTGGCTAAATCCAGGGATGTGGACCCTTTGGATATGGAGGGCCAATTGTGTTTTGTTATAAATTGTATTCTTTTTAAAAATGTTTTATTCTTACATACACACAGATTTTACTAGCTAGAAGCAAATTTAACATTAAAAAAAAATACCTTCCAATTCTGTGAGGGAGATAGTATGATAAATGATAGAGCTAAGGCTTAAAAAATACACCCTATCATGGGATTTGGAAAGTGGCTAAGTTAGGGGTGTCTGTTAGCCACTAGACTGATTGCAAGTTCTTAACAATTACTGTTTGTTCTTCTCTGATTCCTTTCAAGGCTTAAATAAAGCACAACTTAAGTTTTTCATGCTGTATTTTAGATTCTGGTACTCACGTCAGTCCCAGAGTAACTTAAGTGAAATGTTCTTTCTGGTTTGATAAGAGCAGAATAGCCTCTTGCTGTTTACATTTCTGTTAATCATCATTTTCAAAGAAAGAAGTATAAGCTGTATAATATTTCTTCCTCTAGAATTAGGTGATTCTCTATAAGTCTCTGGAATTTAGATGATTGTATTGTGCTTTAAACTACATCATGCTACATGTTTCCAATAGAAATTTAATAAGTATCTTTTAAATAAAGGAACCATTTATTTCATTTTTTAAAATCAGTATGTCTTTGGGAAAAAAAGAAAAGGCTAAATTATCCTCTAATTACTTGGCTTTTTCTGACTTTTATAATCTGGTAAATTTTGCAGTCTGGAAAAGCAAGAGAATCTAAAATATTTCAGGGAGGTGCTAGAAATTTTCTGAATTTCTTTTTTTTTACTATGGAGTTACTGTAGCCCCCAAAGCAGGGCATGGCATTTTCCTCAAGCCTGATGGCTGTTCCAGAGAACTTGTAGCTCTGAAACCCAGCATACCAGGTGACTGGGTTGCCTGGCCACAGGAAGCCATCACTTTCTACCATGTTCCTTTGAAATGTTGATCTAGTTAGCTCACTAGCAATGTGTACATTTGGAATTTAATCAGTTTGATCTGTTTTCAAAAGTTGTTTTGAAACATTCCTTCTCCTTGGAATTTTGATGATTTTGTAATATGTGAACTGAGTTAATAAATAGAACTGAATTTCAGAAATTACCTTTTGACTCATTTAAAAACTATAGCTTAGTACCTGAGTGAGTTGGCAGTTCCATTCCAAAACTTCCTTTTAAGCTTTTCTTCCCATCTCCCACTGACCAGAAGTTACTTTGAAATGAAGTAAGTGGCACGGAAAATAGGAAGAATTGTCTCTGGGCTGCCATGTTCTGCAAAGAAATGTGAAGAAAAATTTTAAGATGGTATGCTATATTAGAATGACTTCAAAAATCTACTTCTTTGTCCATACTAGTGATAAGACTGTGTTAATAATTTTCAGTAAAACTAAATATTTAAGTATCATGACCAAATAATGTGAAAACCATAACCGTGGATATGTATCTATCTTACTTGGGATTTTTCCTACATTAAAAATATCAGTTGGCATCTGTGTTCAGATAATTTTTTTAAAAAAAATTGCATTATAAAATGAAGCAGATCCATGGCATAGGTATTAGATCTTTTGTTTTGAGTAGAGGAAATTAGAAAGGGCATTATAGGTATGATTCATTAAACTAGAGAGCATTGGTGTTCACATTTTAAAAACATAATCATAACTTATCTGGAGTCACATGTTCCATTTTATTGGCTTCCTTCATATAGAAAATATAGTAACTAGCACTAAATGCCTGTGAAAAAGTGAAGCAATTTATATTTTCTGGGTGAAGGAAGTATTCTGTACATTCTCCATGTTTTACATCATGGTACTTTGAATAACCATGCTTCCATGTTCACATCAATTTTTTGTTTTTCAATTTATGCACAGCACTTGCTCTGAAATTTGGGGACTGAGTACACCAAATACGATAGATCAGTGGGATACAACAGGCCTTTACAGCTTCTCTGAACAAACCAGGTGAATATTCTGCCCTCTATCAAATCTTAGAGATCTTGTGGGTGGGGGGATGTTTTGGAAGACCTATACTGGGTTGCTAAGTATAATTTTGTCTAGGATGTTTCCTTAATGTAAAAATCAGGCATAGCATTTAAAATATCTCTGCTTGCCAGTATTAAAAATATATTAAATGTTTCAGCTGATGTTTTGATCAATGCAATTCTAGTTTTGAATCTTCTTTAAATTATTGCATCCCCTAAAGAATAAGAACTTTTATAACCATATACTCTTTTTAGTTTGAGATCAGATTATAATCTGTTGTTGGCCTAATTTTTAAGTAGATACATGACCAGTTTTGCTAAATTTCTTGTTACCATCAAAATCTCATCTTTATACTAATAAATACATAATTATTTACTGAAGCCCTTATTCCACAATCAACAGTAGGCTAGCTTGTTTTATGTTACCTTTTTTATCACCTCATTCTCTTTTTTGAGTATATGATATTTGTCCATTTCATCTCATCATATTCATCAACCATCTGCATTTATGTGTGAACTATATAAATATACCTCAGTTTTCAAAGCAGTCACAACTGGGTAATGAGTTACATTAGTCTGAGTAAGTTACTATCACATCATTGTTGGTATTTACCATTCTTCACAAACTAGTTCTGTTTTTGACTGTTTAGTCACCTACAGAATTAATGCCCTTTAGAAGCATCTCTTAAAAGTTTGATATACTAAATGTAGAAGTTGACAAAGTTTTTCAAGTATAATTGTATAATATTCTTTTGTAAAAATCAGTTTCTCCCAAGTAATTAGCCTTTCATTGGCATTTGAGTCATTTATGTAGCATATTTATAAAAAACATCTAGTGCTGCTGCATACTTTTTTTGTCAGATCCATTAAAAAGTACATTTTTCTTCCTGATTCTCACTAAAACTAACTAAATGGCTATCATTTCTTTCTTTATGCTGTTATTGTACTAATTTAGCCCATTTGACTACACCTATTTTTTTTTTAAAGTTCCCTCCTTTTCCCCTTGCTTTTCACTAGGTCTCTTGATGGTCGTCTTCAGGTATCCCACCGAAAAGGATTACCACATGTTATATATTGCCGATTGTGGCGCTGGCCTGATCTTCACAGTCATCATGAACTCAAAGCAATTGAAAACTGCGAATATGCTTTTAATCTTAAAAAGGATGAAGTATGTGTTAACCCTTACCACTATCAGAGAGTTGAGACACCAGGTAGGAAAATAGCAGGGTTTTTCCCTGGTTTCAAATTAAATGCCGAAACTTAAGTATATTTAGGTATTCTTGTGACCCAGGTAAATTTTAGTGTAAAATTCTAATTAATTACTTTAAATTCAGCCTATTATTTGGTGGTAATTAAAAATGCTTTTTATTTTTTGAATTTTTTTTAATGGAAGAACATATCTTAGAGGGAAAGGTATGTCACTTTCTTGGACTAGCATACTACTTGGCATCAAAGTACATATCCAGGAAATCCCACAGATTTGCCGTCTGCTTAGAGCTAAACTGATGCACTGCTATACTTCTCTGCTACAATGACTTGTTTTCAAGCATTTTGTTCTTTGAGTGTTTTTAGAAGTGCTTTAATCACATCATTTGTGTACAAGCAATTTAATAAAGCTTGTAGCAAGACTTCATTTCTTTAGCTGTCTACTTGAAACTTTTTAAAGAAAGCATATAGCTATATTTTTAGAAAATCTCCTGAATCTGATTTTACAAATCAAGATAATCTTTCCTCAACTTTTCCAATGGGGATTTAAGAACTTCTATGATAAAATAATATTACCAAGGTCAACATTATTCCTGAAAGTACGAGATAATTAGAGTGTGGCAATTTAGATGGTGGAGTACACAATAAGTTTAAGCCATAATCAGATTTGTCAGTTTCTCAGTAACTATTATGTACCAAATAGGTGGATCCTAACTTTTAAAAATTGAGCTACTTTCTTCTTTTTCCTCTTCTTCTTGGTGAAAACTTGTATTAAAGTATCCACCTCCCCTTTTGCTTTTTGCCATTAACCTGGATTTCTCATAACTTTTTCAGTTTTGCCTCCAGTATTAGTGCCACGGCACACTGAGATCCTAACAGAACTACCGCCTCTGGATGATTATACCCACTCCATTCCAGAAAACACTAATTTCCCAGCAGGAATTGAACCACAGAGTAATTATATCCCAGGTATTTTTACCTTCTGAATCTCCTAAAACTTGGATAGATACAAATTTTGTTCATAAACATTCAAGTATTAGTAAATTGTTTCACTTTTTAAAAAATGATGCTTCTGGATTTTGAATAGAACAGTCTGATTTGTTGAGTGATTATTTTGTGAAATATATAAGCCTAGTGCATTTAACAGTTTTGTTGGGAGAAAAGTTTTACTTTATATTTCATTTTCTTTTGCAGTGTCTTTAATCAAAGTACTGTGAGAAGCAGAAAAGAAAAGATCTTAGTAAGTTTGTCTTAGTTGTTGAAGCTGAGAGAGATGCAGAATGTAAGCAAAATAAATGATAATAGGAAGAAAGAATTCCTAAAATACATGTAACTAAAAATCTACCAAATAATCACTTTTTCTTAGATAATTTGAAAATGTTTAAGAGAGATGTAACATTTTTATAAGAGATACAATATTGTAGCTCTGTAGATTTAGCAACACTTATGTTATACTGAAAATCACAAAACCTCTATTTTAGTTACATTTTATTTACACCTCAGTAACTCCTGATGAAAAATGAATTAAACTACACAGTTCTCAAATTTTGCTGGAACTGTGGTATTATGTGATACAGTAATATTCCATGTTACCATACCTGCCCTTTTAGTTATTGCTATTTTTTAGGACAACAACTAATATTTTGTTACTTTTCTTTTTATGTTTCCCTTTCTGTATGTTTGGTTTTTCTCCCTAGGACAAACAAAAAATGTGATATTAGGATGAGGATTTTTAGTGTCTCAATTTTTTCTCCTTTCCTAATGTTCTTCTATTGTACTCATATTTTTATTTTTAAAAAGTAAGGAATTAAGAGCTTCAAGGATATAAAATAATTATTTCTTAATGTATCCCATCTAATGTTTGTTCATTGAAGACAGTGTTAGTAATATAAGAAAAGGAAGAAGCTTTTTAAAAATAGCTAGTTTTACAGATGGGAAGTGGTTTTGGAAGTGTTTTAATGCACATTTCTTTGATTACTATTTTATTCCAAAAGAGTATTTAAAACTGCTTTTTGGGTTGCTAGGAAATATAAACCTTTTGAGAAGTTAGGAGGAAAGGGGAGAGAGAGGTATGATTGATTGACTAGGATGCGGATGTGGGACTATAAAACAGGGCATTTCCTAAGTGGTTTGTCTTTTATAAATGTAGCTTGGAGTGGAGTTTTATGTATGTGTGTGGGGACGGAGGAGGCATTTTAAGTCTGATGCAGGAATTACTGTTATTTAGTTAGCAGTAGTAGGAAACTTATGTTGTAAGCATATTGTCTTGTAAGGCACATACCCAGTAATTATTTGGAAGAATGTTAATCAGAATATTTAGTGGATTTTACTTTACTTTTTTATTCTGTTAGTTGCTTAGGGGAATTTTATGAAGTAGAAAATCAGAAATGGATATTGCTTTTTGGAACAATGAGACTTTATCCATCTCCTAGTGATAACAAAACTGAAAGGTTCACTTTTTATTCCACTTCAAATGAAATTTTAACATTTTCTCTAAAATGCTAATAGCTTTATTATTTTATATATAAATGATAATGGAGAAAAGTAAGGAAATACTTTATCCTAAAGTATCTTTTTTTTTTTTTTTTTTTTTTGAGACAGAGTCTCGCTTTGTTGTCCAGGCTAGAGTGAGTGCCGTGGCGTCAGCCTAGCTCACAGCAACCTCAAACTCCTGGGCTCTAGCAATCCTTCTGCCTCAGCCTCCCGAGTAGCTGGGACTACAGGCATGAGCCACCATGCCCGGCTAATTTTTTTTATATATATATATCAGTTGGCCAATTAATTTCTTTCTATTTTTAGTAGAGACGGGGTCTCGCTCTTGCTCAGGCTGGTTTTGAACTCCTGACCTTGAGCAATCCGCCCGCCTCGGCCTCCCAAGAGCTAGGATTACAGGCGTGAGCCACCGCGCCCGGCCTATCCTAAAGTATCTTAAGCTTTATTATTTTATATATAAATGGTAATGGAGAAAAGTAAGGAAATACTTTATCTTAAAGTATCTTAAAGTTCAGTATTTCTTTCTGTTTAGATCTTTGAGACATTGGTGGTTAAACTAGCAAAGCTTAGTTCTATTTAAATTTCTTAACTTTAACCAAACATAATGATATGGATTATTATTTTGTGTTCTTTATTGTTTGATTATATGAAGATATTTTATTCTTAGAATTTCAGTATTAAAAATTTGGGGATACTGACACTTAAACAAAAAGTTTGGTACTTAAGAACTTAAAATTTATAGTTAGCTTACTGAAGAGAAATTGTAAAGGATTTATAAAGGAAACCCTTAATGCCCATCTCTCTCTCTCCTTTTTGGTAATTGCAAAGTTCTTTTTAGGCATATGTCTCCATTGTCTTGAATTGCTTAAAACTCTTTAGCAGTATAAATGTTAAACCAGGGGTTCTCAAACTTTTTAAACAGGGGGCCAGTTCACCGTCCCTCAGACTGTTGGAGGGCCGGACTGTAGTTTAAAAAAACTATGAACAAATTCCTATGCACATTGCACATATCTTATTTTGAAGTAAAAAAACAAATGGGCAAAAACACCCGCATGTGGCCCACGGGCTGTAGTTTGAGGACGGCTGTGTTAAACTGTTAAATCTTATGAACCTATTTTTCCTCCTTAAAATTATAGTTGGTGAAATTGTTTAAATGTTTATTTTATGAAAAGCTTATTTAGCTGTTCACATGCCTCCTGAACATAAACATTTTGTTCAGAAAATGTGTTGGAAATGACACATTAGAATCTTAATATTTATTTTTAGGGAGTATTTTACTTCTGTTTTGTGAAGTAGTCTATATTTGAATTTTGAATTTTCTGCTTTAAACACTTAGAATTTACCAGTTAGAAATCCATGGAGAAATACACTTTTTAGGTAGAATTCAGGCTAGACCAGTCCTGAACCATACTATTATATTTTGCCCTATAGAATTTAGTATAAGATGTAAGCCTCTATTACTTTTGTAATCTGAAATCGTGTGTGTGTGTGTGTGTGTGTGTGTCCTTTGATCTTCTAAGTACCCATCCATGCTGTTCATTAGTTTAAAAAAAAATTGTAGTTACTAATGTCTTTGAAGCTGACTAATTCAGAATTGAGGTGTCTTTGAAGTTATATTTTTGGCTCTTGCCCCAGAATATATACATATGGGAATGAGCCAGATATGTAAATAATGTCTGAGGAAATATGTCCAGAGAGCTGGATTGTATAACAAGTAGGTTTTAAGGATTCACCTTTAAGACTTGTTTCAGAACAGGCCATAAGCCCTCAGTATCCAGTATTGCTCAGTCATAAGCCCTCAGTATCCAGTATTGCTTTTTATAATGTTAAATAACATTCTTATTTGTTATTCGGAGTGATTCATTGGTTATCTTTGGTAGTGGTAAGAAAAGGTTGCAATATTACAATTGCAGTTGTACTTGATTTGTTTTTTATAACTTTTGTAGAAACGCCACCTCCTGGATATATCAGTGAAGATGGCGAAACAAGTGATCAACAGTTGAATCAAAGTATGGACACAGGTAAAAAAATGTCTTTCAAAATTTCCAAAAATTAGATACACATTTTTCTTGCATTGTTTGAAATTCACCAGAAATATTCCTTTTAAATCTTGAATTAAGAAACATACCAAACAAAATCTTCTATCTTTGTTCAACCAGATGTGAACCTTTAATGGGGGCCATGTTATATCACTGAAGAATTAACACATGCTACTCTGCAGAATAATTGTTATAATTGTCTTGTTAGAGTGAATGAAAATCTGAGAATATTTATATGCTTTTATTTATTTTTAAACACTTCTGTTTCAAGTTTTAGTTAGTCTAGGAATAAATATCTCTTCATGATACAAGACCATAATTATCCCACTAACAGATTTTCAGAGGAATTTGAAGGTGAGAGATGAAGATCAGCTTTTTAGTGCTCCTTTAACTTAATAGTGAGTTCTGAATTATAGTAGATTGCTTATACAAAATACCTTGTATCTGACCTAATTTGATTGATTTCTCATATTTAGTTATCAACTCCAATTACAGAGAAAAATTTTAACGTATGTAAACATTACACACATTAAAGCTTTAAACCAGTTATGTAATAAAATGTATAACTGACCAGACCTAATAGATTACCAGTGAAATCACTTTGATGTCATTGTAATTGTCCACTTTGACTAACTCTACCCTGTCTGTATCTTAAGGATTGGACACCTTAATGTCACAACCCAACAAATTATACCACCAGTCTTTCTATACATCTTACACTAACACATTCTGCAGTTAGGCAAATCTAAATTATTTTTAAATGAATTAACATTGGTGGAGGAGGGAGATTTTACAATAATTTTGTTGTTTAATTCATTCCATTTTAAGGACTCCCAGATAAAGGAGCTTTTGCTGCAGCTAATCATACTTATGGCTGTTAGGAGTAGCAGATAGCTAAGAAAGTCAGAGACTGTAATGATCATTGAAAATAACATATATCTTATTGCAGAGGTCTTAATGCAGATTATATTTGGCTTTCTAAATATGTCTTCCTAACATGCCTACATGTTAAAAGAACTCTATTCTTGAAGCAACATTGTTCTTTTTTTTTGTCCTATGATGGACAGCTGTTACTGTGGCATGTAAAAGTGAATGACATGAAAAGATGCTAAACATCATAAACCACAGTGAGATATTACTTCACATCCACTAGATGGCTATAATCAAAAAAAGACAACAACAAGTGTTGATGGGGATGTAGGGAAACTGGAGTCCTCGTATGTTGCCAGTAGGAATGATAAATGGTTCAACCACTTTGGGAAAGTTTGCTGTTCCTCAAAAAGTTAATTATAGAGTTATCATATGGCCCAGCAGTTTCACTCCTACATGTATACCCAAGAGAATCGAAAACACATCCACACAAAAAACTTATACACAGATATTTATGTAAGTGTTATTCATAACATTCCAAAAGTGTAAATAATTCTCATGTCCATCAAATGATGAATGGGCAAACTAAATGAGGTATATCGCTACCATAGAATATTATCCAACCATATAAAGTAATGGTAGTACAACAAGTTCTACAACATGAATGGACCTTGAAAGCATTATGTTAAGTGAAAGAAGCTGGACACGAAAGGATGTAGGGATTCCAGTTAGTGCACAAACACCTTATTCAACAATATAACTGAAACATAAGAGGACCAATAATATGAGTATAATCACTGATTATGGTAAATGAGTCAAAATAAAAAAAAAAGAGAATAAGCTGAGTCAGCTAAAATGAATTCCATGTTGGAGCTAACTTTGAATCTAACCTAATATTTCTAATGCTGTTTCAGTGGGGCAGTGTTACTGACTTTCAGAATGACACATTTAAAATTGCTTTTTGTAATGACAATGGAAATATCTGATTCATGAGATGCTAAAAGTTGGTTAAACTACCAGTCCCTTACTTTACTATTAGTTCCTCTCTCAGGGTCGTGGCAAGAAAGACATTTCTGGCTGGGTATAATAGGTCACGCTACCTAACCTAGCACTCTGGGAGGCTGAGGCAGGAGGATCGCTCAATGTCAGGAGTTTGAGACCAGCCTGAGCAAGGGTGAGACCCTATCTGTACTAAAGATAGAAATTAGCTGGACAACTAAAAATATATAGAAAAAATTAGTCAGGCATGGTGGTGCATGCCTGTAGTCCCAGCTACTTGGGAGGCTAGGGCAGGAGGATTGCTTGAGCCCAGGAATTTGAGGTTGCTGTGAGCTAGGCTGACACCACGGCACTCTAGCCTGGGCAACAAATCAAGATTCTGTCTCCGAAAATAAAAAAAAAAAAAAGAGATTTCTGACTGATACAAGGTCTCAATTTAGAACAAAACTGGCCTCTTCTCTAATTCTGCTTCATACCTTCCAGGGAGAAGGACATAATTAAATTCATCTTTCACATGCTACTAGGATAGAATGAATTGATATTTTTAAAAAGGGTAACCAGAGGACAAATTAAGCATGGTAAGGAGCTATATGAACTAGCACCTGTGTTTTTGCTTTTCTTTTTTTAAAAAATATTTCTTTGGTAAGTCCTTATTCTTTCTTAAGTCTTGTGGCTATTAGAAATCAGGCAGGACATCACAAGAAATCTAAAAGTTTAACCTTTGTCAGAGTATTCTATAATTAGTCCCTTTTTGGGTCATGATTGATTTTATGAAAATATTAGTTCAAACAGGTATATAGAGAAATAGAATCTAATAGACCATAAGATGTGGATTCCATAACTCACAGTTTAGTTTTATATCTTCTAAATTTACTGTGCTTGGTCTAGGATACAGAGATGCAGGCTTATGAAAAGTTTTTGAATCACCAGTATCAGTGGGTTGAATTGGGTCTCTCAAAAAGATATATTGACATCCTAACCTCCAGTACCTCAGAATTTGACCTTACTCATAAATAGACTCTTTGGAAATGTAATTATTTAAGTGAAGATGAAATCATACTAAAGTAGAGTGGACCCCCTAATCCTATATGACTGATGTCCTTAGAAAAAGAGTAGAGATTCACAGTGAAGAATGCCATGTGAAGATAGAAGCAGATATTGGAGTTAGCAGCTACAAGCCAAGCAATGACAAGGATTATTGGAGAACAATGTAAGAGAACATATAAGAGAAAGGCATAAAACACAATCTCCCCTGAAGTCTTCAAGAGAACATGGGTCTGCCAACACCTTAATTTCAGACTTAAGTCCTCCAGAACTTGTGAGAAAATAAATTTCTGTCATTTTAAGCCACCCAGTTTTTGGTACTTTGTTACCAGCAACCCCTAGGAAGCTAATAAGGTTTTGAGAGACTACTACTAAAAACATGTATATTTAGTTATTTGTAAATTATATACAGGTACTTAATATATTGTACACTTTAACATACATAAAAATGTTAAAGGATGAGATTAAATAAGTTCTAGTTTTTTCTTTTTGTAAGCCAATTGTTTTGTGTACTCCTAGCCAATATTCACATATCCTACTTACAAGACTCCTTCTCTTAACCAAATGCATATAATCAGGATATCACTCTGAGCTAGACTACCTGAGTTTGGATTGTTCCTCTACCATATACTAGCTAGGTAATAGGTAACATAGGTACATAGTTTTTCCTTCCTTCCTTCCTTCCTTCCTTCCTTCCTTCCTTCCTTCCTTCCTTCCTTCCTTCTCCTCCTCTTCCTTCTCTTCCTTCGCTCCCTCCCTCCCTCCCTCCCCTCCTCCTCCCTCCTCCCTCCCTCCCTCCCTCTCCCTCCCTCCCTCCCCCTCCCTCCTTCCTTCCTCCCCTCCCTCCTTCCTTCCTTCCTTCCTCCCCTCCCCCCTTCCCTGCCTACAGTAAAATGTTGGATAGAAGTGGTAAGAATGGACATTTTTGCATTGTTCCTGATTGTAGTGGGAATACATTCTGTAGATCCCCACTAAGTAGGATGTTAATTTGTGGATATTTTCTAGATTGTTTTTATCTGATTGAGGAAGTTCCTTTCTGTTCCTAATGTTCTGTTTTTTATGAATGACTGTTGAATTTTGTCCAGTGTTTTTTCTGCATCTATTAAGAGGATCATGTAGTTTTATTCTTTTATTCTTTGTGCAGTGAATTCCACTAAGTGATTTTCTAATGACAAACCAATATTTGGTTATGATGAATTAATATTTTAAAATATTTATGAATATGTTCATGGTTTATTTTTAAGAATTTTTATATCCATGGGTATGAGACATTGGTCTATAGGGGTTTTTTTCCTTGTAATATCTGTATTAGTTTTAATATCATAAAATGTGTTAGAAAGGACTTTCTCCCTGTTTTCTGGGTTTTCTTAAGGTTGGTATTGTTTCTTACTTAAATATTTGATAGTTGTTTTTTTTTTTTTTTTACCAGAGAGACCACCTCTTTTAGGAAAGGGTTTTTTAAATTGAGTATTATTTAGATTTTTAATTTTTTTGTGTTTCCATTTTGTAAGAAATTTGTTCATTTCATCTAAGTTGTAGAATTTGTTGCTCTGAAGTTATTCCTAGTATTTGTTATTCCCTCTGTAAGATGTGTAATAACGTCCCATTTTTTTAAATTTATAAATTAGTACTTTGACTTTTCTCTTTTATTCTTAGTAAGTCTTGCAAGGAATTTATCAGTTAATAGTTTAAAAGAATCAAATTTTGTCTGTTAATTTTTTCAGTTGTCTTTGTCTCTTTTCTGTTTCATTGGTATTCTTCATTATTTTCTTATGTCTACTTTGCACTTAATCTGCTCTTCTCAAGCCTGTTAAGTGTGTTTAGATCATTGATTCATTTCTAATGTAAGCATTTAAAGCTATAAATTTTCCTCTAAGCCTTATTTTAGCTGTGTATTATAAATTTTCATATGTTGTTTTCTACTACCACTTAATTACTTTCTAATTCCTCTTACAATTTATTCTTTGACCCATGAATTATTTAGAAGTTTGAGGTTTTTTGTTTTTTGGTGTTTTGAAGGGTGGGGATTTTCTAGATACTTCATTGATTCCTAATTTAAATCTGTTATG